CCCAAAACCCCAAAACCCCAAAACCCCAAAACCCCATACATCCTTATAAACCCTGAAATTTTAATTTAAGATAATATAAATATGTACAAAAACTCAAGACCAAGACCTATCAACCTCCTATCAGTGGAGCCTACCTTTAAGAGGATGGCTACTATGAAGCCAGAGTGAAAGTCTCCAGTCCCAAAGATCACCCAATCTTTATTCACGAATTGCGTCAAACAGAAGGGAATCAATAATATGAAAATATTTGACGCGAACAATGACGAGGGTGTCCCCAAACACTGGGATGATAAGTTCAAATCTTTTATCAACGAGAACTCTCATTGAGGAACTCCATTTTTGTCAAGTTTTAATAAAGAGTTTATATACCCAGGAGATTTGACAGACGGCAGAAGCCACTGTGATACAATGCTGTTGCCCTCAGGTAGGAAAGTAGCAGCCGATCCTACTGAGTTTAGAACTAATACTGAGAAATGTATAATTTTGTGATAATTTTATAGCTAATGCTCCATCCAGGCTTAGCATTGCTTCTAAGAAACTTAGCAGAAGGAGGCTGAACTCCTACCAGTGTCCAACCAAGAGCTCTGCAAATAAGGGAGTCTCTGACGTAGGTAAACCATTTAATAATAATTCCTATTCTAAAACAAAAAACTTATCGTACTTTTTCCAGTTCTTTCAACATATAAGTCAGTATAACTTTGTCACAACAAATTCTGAGATTTCCAGATATAAAAATCTTTTAGGAGAGCCCTTTCTGTCAGTTAACAAGTGAAACTCCAAAAGCTCCAGCAAGGAAGATTCGTGACCAAAGGTAAATTTAAGTGACTGTTACCTGCTCGATAAAAAATCCTTATCTATCACCTAAACTTGCAAAAATGTTACCAATAAATTTTAGGAAATAGAAGAAGCCAAGAAGGCTAACATTGTATTGGAGAAATGCTTCCAGATGAAGAACAGAGAAGTAGCTCGTCTCACTAAAAGAAATCAAGAGTTGGTGAATAAGATCTCTAGCCTGGAAAAAGAACTTGAGGATGTCAAAGAGTCTCTTAGAAAGCAAGAGAGAATGTGGATTAAGTCTGTCGAATCCTCTTCTCCTAAGACTAATGCATCAGAGACTTCTCCAAACCAAGAGGAGAGTGCAGTTATTAAAACTAGAGCGAAAAGAATAAACTCAGGTGAAAACCCGAGGATTGGAGTGAACTGTAAGCAAAATTCTCCAACGCTTTTACGCCAAAAGTACTTTAAAAGGATAGAAGACTTACAAAAGAAGCATGAAAAAGATATGAATCTGCTTAGGAAAAGCTTTGCTAAGCAACTAGAGGACCTCACTGAATTGGCTGCTCAAGCATCAAATGAGGCTATTAGAGCCCAAGATAATGCAGCTTTTAAATGAAAGTGTAAGTCTATTTCCCAAATAATAATTGCTAACACTCCCTATAGCTTTCTTTGATATTATAATTGAAAAAGATATCCTGATTGAAGAGCTCGAAGACAAATTATCAAAAGCCACCCAAGAGTTTAATGAGTATGCCTGGCTTTACTCATCTTATAGAATTGACAGCGATTCAAAAATTTACAAACTTAAATCATGCATCAGTGTCTTAAGGACAAATCTCAAACTACAGCATAGAGAAAACAAGGAAATGGAGAGTCTGAATTCTCGCCTAAAATCAAAAGTAATCGAGCTAAAGAAGAAGGTTCTAAAATTTGATGTTCCTACTAAACACCTAGGTGCTAGGTTAAAGTCATTTTAATAACTTATTAACTATTACTGCATAACTTGGAAAATTGTGGTTGCTAGTAAAACTTCACTTAATTTTTTACAATTTATACACTTCATAGATATGTTGGATTGTATTTTTAAAATATTTTCGAAAGGTTTTCCAGTAAGAATTTTCGATATAAAGTCAACAGGGCAAACTGTTCTCCATCTTCAGTAATTTTCATCAAGGATGTATTTATATATTAGCAAGATGATTTTGTATTAACTTCACATCATCCCTTTGTAAGACTTGCTTGTAAGGAACAACCTAGTTGACCATACATCATGGAATGAAATTCTTCAAAAAATTATAGGAATAGAGGAGATATAATTCTGAATAATTCCGAATAATTCTATAAATTTTTCCAAAACGAGGTATATATTACTACTAATGTTTCAATATTATATTGAATTAAAGGGGTTTTGGGGTTTTGGGGTTTTGGGGTTTTGGGG